TTGACCAGCTTTGGCCGTGGCACTGAACACGAAAAGTGGTTCTTTATGTATCGGTAGTGGTCCGTCGCCAGCACTCGTTCCGTGTTTTCAATTGACAGAGAACTTGTGGGCGAGCTGCTGATGAGTTGGTTAGTAGAAGAATGTAGGTTTAGGAGATGACTAGCATCGTCCGTGGCAATGGGCACCGTCTCGGTGAGACTCCTCGTCAATGCTGACCGGTCATCGTTGTAGTCGTCATCAATGAGATTCTCAAAAAAAGATGAGGATTCGTTTGAGTAGTGATGGGGTGATCTGTAGTGTGACTCGGTGTCGTGTTTATTTGCAGTGACGCATTGCGTCCACAGTGCAATGAGAACTATGGTCGTGAGGGTCATTTGGAGGCGCCATTGAAGGGTTCCACTGGCAGTGACCACCAAACTGTCTGACAATTTTGTGACAATTCGGCAATTTTGCTTTAATTCCAGCGACGGTTTCGTTTCATATCTCCAATCTGCTGATGATGCCCCTTCTAGTGCCACTTTTGGCGCTTTTAATCGTGTCGAGTTCATCGAGTCATCGGGTTACGAGCGAAAACTACTTTTGAGAAGTTGATGAGTTGCTTTGGGTGAACTTGGAATTGTCGACAAGAAGAAAAGAGGCTAAAGAGGCGCTCGCAAGAATTGTTGTTGTTGTGTTCTGCATGGAAGATAAGAACATATACAAAGCTTGTCAGTGGAAGCTGTCATTGTATCCGATAAAGCTGACATTTGCCTAAGTGAAATGGGCTCGTCAAAAAGCTGCTGTTGCTGCTACTGTACTTGCCTCCCAACAGACCTAGCCTGAAGGCAGAAGACACCACCACCACATTGAATGTCATTTGGCGCAAGCAGTAGCAAACCTGTCTAAAAATCTACGTCTAAATCATATTTTTTTTCCAAAGCACCTGACTGTGTTTATTCCTAAGCTCATGGGCGCAAACGGCGAATATGGTAGCACTCAAAGCAACTACTGGAACCTGATATGCCTACAGTTTCTCCTTCTGGTAAAATAACNGTTAAAGCACCTGATTGTGTTTATTCCTAAGCTCATGGGCGCAAACAGCGAATATGGTAGCACTCAAAGCAACTACTGGAACCTGATATGCCTACAGTTTCTCCTTCTGGTAAAATAACCCACCACAAAAAGGCGAAAAATAAATGTGAAAAACAACACTTACTTTGGTGTTTTAAAAATAGTTCCAAAAAGAAAGATGGTAAAGGGCAGAAGAAGTTTGTGTGAAGAATTAGCAAAAACAATCTTGGTGCCGCACTGGTGATGCTTGGCACAGCAAAGCACTAAGTGCGATGAATGGAGATGAACTGTTCTCCTGGTGATGATGATACGGATGCGGTTGCTGATGCTGATGATGGCTGACAATGTCTTGCGAGGCAAGTTCGTTCAGGAGTAGTAGACATGCAGACCGGCGACTGGTGAACGGGGAAGCTACTGGAGCTACTGGTGGCATTCTGCTGATTCTACGAGACGCCTGTCACGGATTATTTGCAAGAGGCACCCGCCTGGTGCATCACTGCCGCCACTCTCCTCGGTGCTTGTCGATGATTGCCGACAGTCTGTTCTCGAAGGCGACGCTTTGCGGTGTGTTCTTGGACAGTGCCGCAAATTTTGATGTTTGTTTGCTCTAAATTTGCCGTTGCGAAAATTGTCTCAGCCGCCGATGCGTGCCTCTTCTTCCTCTTTTTTCCGTTTTCTTTGTCAACTTCCTTGTCTACTTTACTGCAAATAAAATTTGTGCAAAAACAGTGAAACAGAGAATGTAAAAAAAGTTGTGATGTTGCTGAGTATAAATAACGCGCTAAAGTGTTGTCACTGAGAAGCTGCAATTCAGATGGTGAGATTGTGGTAATTCTGTCATTAGCACCGATGACCAGTGCTGATAAAGTAGGGGGTTATGCTGATGATAATGATGATGAAATTGACGATGAAAGATGAGAAAAAATCAAAGTTGCAAATTTTTTCAAAAATGCGATTGCTTGCCGAAGGATGCAATTTTTATATATCTTCAAAGCTCAGAAAGTGCACTACTGTGAAAGGGGCACTACTGCCGATTTGAGAATGGCGCGCACAGTCGCGAATCGCGCGACACACTGAGACAGATGAGTTTTTCAGTCAGTCTGTGCAGACACTAGTGAACGGCTTCAACTGCTCAAGTTAATTAGCCAGTCACTCTGCAGTGGTGGTAGTGCAAGTGGAGTGCTAGTGGCGGCTGCAGACTACACTCTTCCCAGTTGAGATGTGTACGGCGTATGTGCGGAGATATAGTGAAATGGTAGTAATGGCAGTAGTAATGGCCACGCCGAATAGTAGTAGAACCGTTCGTTCCGAGTCGTGTCTGGCTGCGGCAGGCTGGTGAGGAAGAACCACGTCGCCGAATGCCAATGTGCCGCACGGGACTCGATCGAAGGAGAGTGAGAGCGAGGGAAACAGAGCAGACGGCAATGGGATCGCTCTCCTTCTTCTTCTGTGCAGTCGGCGGAGATGAGTCAATCGGTGGGCATAGACACAACAGGTGAATTGACAAGAAGTAGTGCTGACGGTGGTGGTGGCGGCGGTGGCAGTGACCACAACGATTGCCATCGGTGGGTCGCAGGGTCAGACAGCAAGGGGGCGATTTGATCGATCAGTGCGCGCAGATTGCGGTTTTGATTTGCGGCGAGCAAAGAAGGAGAGAATGAGAGGAAAGTGCCGCTACTGCAAAGACACTGCCTCAATTAGTAAGTGATAGCCAGAAACTGCCTAAGTGGCAAATGAACTCGCCAACGGAACTTGAGGCAGTAACTTGAAACAAAAAGACTCACATTTGGTGATGCTCACTATGTGACGCCCACCGGCACTCAGTGCAGCCGTTTGTGTGATCACTGAAGCCACCAGTGAAGCCAGAATGCAGAGCAAAAGCAGAGAAAATGATAGGCGACAGTATAATTGGGTGGATTGCAGCTGGCGCAGATTTAGGGTTGTCTAGCTCTTAGCTCGTCGGCTGATCTAAGTGCAGTCAGACAGTCAGGGAGAGAGTCACGCAAGCAACTGATTACTAGAACGGGGTACCAGCAACAGCCGCACCATCCCCATCACCACTTACCACACATTACCGTTGATCTGTGCAGAGACACCAAGGACACAGAGGGAGATAGTCGATTGCCTTGCCGTTTTGTGCCTCATTCAGTCTGTGGCCTCATTACTGCAGTGAGTTATGAGTTTACATAAAGGCAATTGGAGAAGAAGAAGGAGGAAAAGAAGCAGAGAATAGTAAAGTCAGTGAAAGGCTGAAGACTGAATGAGTGAGCGAGTGACTTAGTTAAGATTGGTCTGGTGGTACCAGTGTCTACTAGTGCACTAACTGGGCATTAGCTAGTTAACTTGTGTGGTTTAAGCTTTAGTTTTCTCCGATTCATAAATTATGCCCCACGCATTGTGAAGGCCATGTTCATTGGAAATTCACTACCACTGCAACCACCACCTTTACCAAAAATGACCGTTGACGCTGTCGGTAGAGCGTAAAGTTCAAAAAGAATAATTCGAAATTAGATAATTGCTTCTGCTGGTGTGGAACACTTACAAGCAAACACAATACACCGATTAGGTCAACTGTTTATGTGGCGTGTCGGTTTTGTTTGTCTGATGACTGGTTGCTGCCGAGCAACAAGGTGCACTTCAACTGGTTGTCTGATCATTTTTCATGTTCTTATTGTTTTCCATATATAAAACCAAGGAACAGTTTAAAAGTAAAAAAGTCTATTAATTGTTTTATTATAGTAGAGGCAAGACAAGCAAAAGAAGTAAAGCAAATCGCGCCAAGAACAAGACAGAGAAGTAGAAATGAAAGGAGCACTTCGGGCACTTCAAGGGCACAAGAGCACATTCACACCACCACCACATGCACATTGATCGCATAAATTAATGGATTACAAAAACTGATTCTCTCGACCAGGCACTGTGTGCGCGCGTGTGTGTGAATCGATGGAAATTCATGAGCCTTTTTGCCGTCAGTCTGAACAAACTCATAAACTGACTCCAACTTAATAGAGAGGTTTTGCCCATTTGCAATCTCTGCATTTGAATCCCTTCACTAATACCATTATTTATGTGAACTCTCCTTTTGGTGACAAGACTGGTGGTGAACTGCTAAGAAGATGAACAAACAAAGGAGACGACTTTTTTTTGCTCTTCTCTTTTGGTACCACAAACTTGTCGCTTAAGGATAGTTATTCGCTATGATGGCACGACTTTAGATTGGCAGTTAACTGGCGCCAGTCAGCAACAAAAAACAAGCTGTGAAGCAGGCAGAAAAAAATATGCATCGTAATTTATGGCTGAATTTTTTGCTGTAGTTACTGCTGCTGCTGCTGTTCTGGGAAATGGCCACCGACCAACCAGTGGTCGTCATTGTTGTGGCAACAGGCTTTGTTTTACAGCAGCAGTCGGCAGTTCTCACCGTCATCGAGTAAACGAAAACGTTTTCAATGTTTTGCTGTGCCGATGAGGAAAAAGCAGGGCACTGCCGCTTATTGTTATTGAAATTATGGAAATGCATTTGCAGGCAATGAGGTAATTAAACAACATGAACAGTGGTGCGATTGTGGGACGATGATGTGCTGAGTTTGCATGCTGATGAGTGGCACTCACGTGGACGGTGAGCAAGAGGTGGTGGAGGTTTGTGAGTGAAGTTTGCGAGATCGCTTTGCACCACTCAGCTCATGGCGTTCAGTGTGGTGGACGCTGTCGCCGTAACGAAAATACCGCTTCTTTTTGAATTGCTTTTGAATATTCTCTTGAATCTATTGGTAATGGTAATAGTTAAATTGTGTTGCCTAAACTCTTTGCCAAGTACCTCTTTATTGAAGAAACAAAAGATGGTGGCCACCATGGCTCCCTGCAGTGCTTCTGTGATAATGAGAACGTAGTGGATGACGAAGAGATAGGTCGCACAGGACTCAAATGGATCAAAGGGGACAATGTAAAAGACGTACTGAATGCCAAAGACGGGCACCAGAAAAAGAGACGCTCGAAGGCCTGACTTGATGTGAGTGTCATTTGACGAGGAAAGCTTCTTGAACATGATGTAGGTCATGTTTACCAAAAGAACGATGTTTATCTGATAGAACAGATTGTTTAAATTATGTTCACATTCTGTACAAAACTCACCAGAATAAAACTGATTGGCGGGATGTTGTAGAGCAGCTCCCAGTAGCCCATTGACTTTGTCCAGCAGCTATTGTTGAACTTTGGATTGAGATGCACTACTGTGTAGGCGGTCATGACCACCACTGGCAGTCCCCATCCAATCAGCAGAAACTTGACCATGTTGGCCCACTTTCGAAAGGGCAAAACAATCATAAGCCAGAGAATGATGCCCTCGTTGAGCATCCAACAGTAGTTGGCCAGCCGAGCGGCCTTTTGCAGCATCAGCAGTATTCGACACCAAGGGGGACTGTTGTTTAAAAACGGTGATAAATATAAAGTACAAAGCAATACTGATCTATAGTCTTACTTTTTATCAATCATAGAATTGAGTAGGTAGTGCTTCTCCTTGATGAAAAAGGAGACGCAAAGTGAAAAGACCGACGTAAAGATGAGTGAGATGAGGAAGTTGATGTGAATGTAACTGAGAGTGGGCTGCTTCTTTGTGCCGTATCGAGTGATCAGCAGCAGACCGACAATGGTCAGCACCAGCGAGACAAAGTAGACGCCGATAGAGGTGCGAATANGGGCTGCTTCTTTGTGCCGTATCGAGTGATCAGCAGCAGACCGACAATGGTCAGCACCAGCGAGACAAAGTAGACGCCGATAGAGGTGCGAATAAAGCGCAGCTTGTGCGTCGCACCGGGCGTCGAACAACGAAAGTAGTTGGTGTACTCCTCCTGCACTAGGCGAGTTTGATTGGCCAGTGCGTAGCTCTTCCAGATTTTTGCCCAGGTGCCGTTGGACCAGCACTCCTTGCTGGCCATCTCATTGCGGCAGGTGGTCGGTTTCAAGCCTAGGGTGAAGTACGTCATTCCGGGGCAAGTTTTAAATTCGGTGGTGCCTGCTTCGGCGGCGTTCCAGCACATGAAACCGTCCCATTTGGCAGGACAGTGGTTTGCATGAGAAAGATGCTGCTGTTGCTGCTGTTGTTGAGTGGCATCAGTGGACTGAACTGCCTTGTTTTCCCCTTGATCCGCAGTCATTTGTGTCATGTCAGCGCAGCACTGGCGTGCCTGTTCACAGCAATCTAAAAGCAAATCCTACCATTTAACAAGAGCATTAACACACACATGCTGACAGGTTGTACCTCAAAAGTAGAAGGCATCTAGTTCATACCAGGTAGTAGGCGGACTTAAATTCGCCCGCAATGGAGTGATTTGAGTGAGTCAGCAGACCTTCCTGGTCCACTTGTTTGAGATCCTCGTAGCGAAAGGGGTGACAGTCGGGATTGCAGAGCAGCACGTTGATTGTGTCGCTGTGGTTGTAGACGACGTTCCACTGATGAACCTGTTCAAAGTTGTGCCACGGCGCCTCACTGCCGGCCATGTACCACAGACACTGGGCGCACATGTTGTCGGTGAAGCGGTCAATGTTGACAAAGTCATAAGGCAAATTGCTCAGACAGGGAAAAGATGAAGAAGATGGCGGCGGAGGAGGTGGTTCTCCAGTGGCCTCTGCCATTCCACCAAACAGCAACAGGGCGGCCAAGAAGCAGGTGAGACAGCATGTGAATTCCATCAGTGAAGTGGTCATCTGTAGTCCTGATGGTCAGACAGCCAAAAGAAGAGGCAAAAAAGAAGCAGTATTTGTTGAGAGTTCATTTAGTCTTAAGGCTGCTGATTGCCGTTGCATCGCACAGAGGTGTGGGTGTGTGTCACTCTGAAGTCTGACTGTCTAGCTGTCACTGTGTCTGGTAAAAGTGATGGAGGACGCACACATACACACACATGGAATGACTACAGCTAGCGGCAAATCGCATATTCGCCGACCATGTCTCGTTGCAACCCTGTGTCCGACGTGCTCTACACTGCTCCACCTGTTCAAGCCGAGCACCCGAGAATGAGATGCTATCCAGCGAGGCTAGCACTGCCATCGGTAATCTTATCTACCATCTCATAATAGGCTGACAACTGCTGGTCACAGCAGTAATCACAGCAGCGGACGAATCACATGCCACTGCCTGAATCGTCATGGTGATGCCATCCGATGATTAGTGCCGGCAACAGTGCCCAACACCGCCGTCGCTGGCTGCTAAAGCATCGTCCGGCGAAATCACTGCCGAGCTGTCAGATGCTCTCCGGAGACAGTACTGTTCACTGGCGGCTATCCACTACGACTACCAGGGTTGCACAATGATGGCTCATCACTTTCACCACCGGTGGCCTATAAATAGCAATGCAATAAAAGACCAGAGAGAAAGGAAAGGGAAAGCAGCAGCAAGAAGATGAGCCTGCTCGTCGGTAATGACACATACACACACCTATGCCGACCTAAAAATGCAATGTCAATCAGATGGCGGCAGATCAAAAAGAACACATCACTGCTTAGGAGTTGTCAACGTCACTGCCAATTGCTAAGCCTCCTCTCAAGTGGTGCAGGTGCTACTGTCCGTTGACATTGACACATTGACACGTTCACTTTACCCAAAAAGTGATGTCCTACTACCGGTAAAAGAGGGTCACTCCATTGCACCTTCAGGCA